CTTTTGTAAGCGACATGGGGCTCCCGATCAGTTCATATCCTCGTTATTCTGAAATTCCGTTGCTTCACATAGTTCGTCGATTCACTTCAAACATTCGTCAATGTCAGTCAAGCTTTTGTGACTTGGATAGTGACGTTCATCATCTTCTTTTGTGACTGGCGTTGACCTAAGATTACGCGTTCACCGGCATTGACCTAGGGTATCGGATCGCCTGACGTTAACTTTTTCATCGTAACTCGTTGACTGGCGTTGACCTAGGGTTACGCGTTGACCGGTGTTGACCTATTGATTTCATATGGAGTATGGTTTGGGTAAATGATTCAGGAATCAGGACATGTATTGTACTATAGCAAGAGACATAGTAATGGGAAAGGATAAAAATAGTTTCAAGACAGTTCAATTCATTGACTACTATATTTTAGGGCAACCATTACAAATACTCTATGAAATCAATGCATAATGGTGCGAGAATTCATGTCTGAGTCTAGAATATCACGATATGTTAAGATCAGCTGTAGTTTTCAGAAATTACAGAAATACCCCTACAGTTTTCAGAAATTACAGAAATGACCCTGCAGTTTCTGAAATTCCAGAAATACTCCTATGACAAGTAAACTAGTTTTAGAGCTCCAAATACTACTGTAAAGTATGTAAGATGTTGAGATTCTTTTACAGGCATAAGTTCAGGTTCGCATAAGCACAAAAAGGAAATTAAACTGAAACAACGAAACACAGAGACATTCGAAGTAAGAAACAAAGGATTGGATGAAGAACAAGTTTAACCCTAGAGGTTCTAACACCATTTCAAATTACATATTAAATTACCTTAAACTACCCAAGGATGAAGGCAATATTACTTATTGTGTAAGTGTAACCTATAAACTGAATGGAGTTTAATATGTATTTGTAGTAGGAAAGCTCAATACAAGTTACAGGTGACTCCTGACGCGTCACAGAAGGACTTGGAATTTGCATAATATTGGTAAGTATGATTACATATTCATTAATTTATGATTTTCTCATCATCTGCTTACAAATGTTATCTTTTGATGCACAAGCATGAACTTCATATCCAAGTATATTTTAAGAAAGGAGAAATTTTTAAAACAGCCCTTTTTTCAATTTTATTGGGCAAAATCGACCGTCTCACAAATTAATTAGCAAAACCGACCGCAAAGGGTCGTTTTTGCAATTACGGAACTGCACGGGACTAGCAGTCCCGTGCAGTCCGCCTAACCCACCGGCTCCCTTTCTTTTCGTCATTCTTTCGTTCTGTCTTTCGTTCATTCCTCTCGTGACCACTCTCCCCCGAAGAAAAAAAAACCCTCGACTCGTCGACCCCCGCCGCCGACCACCGCCGCCGACCACCGCCATTTGCACGTGACCATCCGTCGCTCTCGTGACCGATCACCGCCGCCGACCACCGCCATTTGCACGGGCTAGGGTTTTTTTCGTTCATTCCTCTCGTGACCAGTCCGCCGCTCTCGTGACAGCCCTCCGACCTCGTCGCGCCACCGACACCATCGACCCCCACCGAACCCCCATCCTCAGGTGTGTTTTTCTTTTTAGTTTTGCTGTTAATTTTTTAGAGGGATATTCATCAAATTTTGCTAGAATTGAGTGAATAATGTGATTTGGGAGTTAGGGTTTAGTTTAGTAATTATTTATATATGAGAGGGTTTAGCAATTATTTTTAAGAGGGATATTCATCAAATTTTGCTAGAATTGGGGGAATAATGTTTTGGCTGTTAATTTTGCTGTTAATTTTGCTAGAATTGGGTAGGATTAGTTTTTATTTTGTGCAATAGGATGAATAATGTGATTTGGGAGTTAGGGTTTAGTAATTATTTACATATGATGAATAATAATTAGGGGTTTAGCCATTATTTGGGATTTATTCAGATATTAATAGATTATTTGCATATGATGGACTGTGTATTTTCAGTTTCGATGACGAACTCCATATCTATTATTTGTTTCTTTAATGGGAGCCTCGGCATCGGAGTGAATAATTTGCCGGTGTATGATGGAGGTTCTCGGAAAATGTTCATGCTATCTAAGTCGTGTAATTTTGATGGAATGACTAGGGAAATACACAGAGTTACTAAAATTAAGAAAGAAGAATATACAATTAAGGTGTTCTTCAACTGTCCTATAAATGAGAGTAGAACTATTGCCGTGGAGATTACCGAAGATGAGGAATTGAATGACATGAAACAATTAGTCGAGAAGCAAGCGTCAATTGAGTTGTTTATTGAGAAGTATCCGATTCAGGAATTTGCCCAAGTTTCACGACCTCAAGGAGAGTTTTCTCGGATGCTTGACTTAGACAACGAGTCGATTGGTTTTATGACATCTCCAAGTCAAGAGCCATGGTCTCAACCACAACGTTTAAGTGAGTATTCTATCGGTGGGACGTCAACTAATATATTTAACGACGCTTCAGGTCATGTTACGGGTTACCCACCAGTCGGAGCAATTATAGAAGATGAAGCAGATGATGATTCAGATCATTTTGAAGAAGATGGCGTGCAAATTGATAGCATGCATGTGGCAGCTGGAATAGATGATGACGCCCGTTGGATGGAGCAATTTAACGTTAACAATGATTATGTGGAAGCTGAAGATCCGTTGCCCGACGAGTTTCATAATGAGGATTGGATAAATACTTCTCAAGCTGGATTTGTTGATGTTGGGCCAAATTTACAACGACCTGAGGACTTCACTTTTAAAAAAGGGGATCTATTCGAGAACAAGGAGGCACTGATTTTTGCAATCCGAGAATGGTCCATCAAGAATCGGGTCAAATTAAAGCCGGTAAAAACTAATGCAACAAACTACAATGTGAAATGCTTCTTTAACGATAAGAATGAAGTAGAGAATGCAAATGAGCAAGATGAGAGAAATAAAAAATGTCCTTGGTTGCTAAATGCCGCTGTGAGAAAATCATCAAATGGGCAATTTGTAATATGTAGATATTGCGGACTTCATACATGTTGCAACCCGTCGGTGGATGTCGATGATTATTCTGCATCTTCTTCTTATATATGTAAGCTAATTATGCCTGAAGTTAGAGCTGAACTTGATCTGAATGCAAGTCAGATATCTATTAAGGGCTTCACTTTTTGTCGTCCGCTATTGAGCATTGATGGTACACATTTATATGGAAAGTACAAAGGCGTGCTTCTTGTAGCGACCGGTGTAGATGCAAATGGCGGGTTATTTCCTCTAGCATTTGCAGTCGTGGAGGTGGAGGATACTTCTAGTTGGAAGTGGTTTTTTGAACTTATATACAAGTGGATTCCTAGTGTCCGTGCGCCAAGAATAATTACCTTTATTTCGGATAAGATGAAAGGAATTATAAGGGCGTTACATGAGGGTTTTAGTACACCACATCACCATCGATATTGTTTAAGGCATATAAGAGATAATTTCAAGAAAAAACACGGTGAGATTAATTTGCAAAATCTTTTGTGGCAAGCCGGGTGTGCGACCGACACATTAGTGTATGAACATTGCAGGGAGAAAATCAAGTCTTTGTCATTAGATGCACATAATTGGATTGAAAATAACTTGAAGCCCCAATTCGAGCATCGGTGGGCATTATGTAAGGATGAGGATGTGCGGTTTTGCATGATGACGACTAATTGCTCCGAGAGCTTTAACGGCGTTCTTAAAAGAGCACGAGCTATGCCAATACAATCTTTGGTTGCGAGAACATTCTATAGACTAAACGCATACTTCAACAAAAGGCGTGGTGATGGCATAGACTGGACAACACGTTACACACCAAAAAATGAGTCCATTTTGCATAGAAGAATTGAGGCAGCAAGATCATGTCAAATTACCGTATTCAACGACAACGAATGGCAGGTACAGGATTGTGACGGTATCTACACCGTTAAACTATTTGATGTTGATTGCACTTGCACATGTAACATACCACAACTCCAAAAAATACCCTGTGCACATGTGCTTGCGGCTTCTTCTAATCAGCCGGGAGGTGCTAGAATTCCCAGAAATCGGTATTGCTCGCCTTGGTATTCAACAGCTCACTATCAAAAGACATATAGTGAGAGTTTTCATCCACCTGATGATAGTCGGTATTGGCCTGAATATAATGGACCACATATAGTTCCACCTCAGTACCGGAGACAAGCAGGTCGACCACGATCTGTGCGAATTAGGGGAACCATGGATCAAGGGCGAGAAGGAGTGGTCAAGCACAAAAAATGTAGTCTTTGCAAACAACCGGGACATACTCGACCTCGTTGTCCATCTAGACACAATAGATAGCAACTAATTGGTAATTTATATCATTTTTTTATTTTTATATACTTTAATAAAGAAACTGAATTACTATATGATTGATTATTGACATGTGTATAATTGTATGTGCAGGTTTGTACACCATGGATCCTGGGCCGGTTAGTGATGAGGTCTTATATGACCAGGCTCAGCATCGTTCACATATTATATCCTGTACAGAGGTAATTCAGTTACTTTATAATTGTAATATTTGCATTTACATAATATTGCATTCTTATACTATCATTGTCTATACAGAGAGGTCCGAGTATCGTTATGGTTGATCAGTGTTGTAAAAAGCGGCAAAAAGCGGGGCTATCGCGGCGCAAATCGCGGAAGCGGGGTAGGTGTAGCTCCAGAGCCTATGCCTCGAGGAAATATTAAGTTGAAGTGGTTGAGAGAGACCTTCTCAGTACCGTTGCCTGTTGATGCCCCACAAATTTTGGTTGACCAACATGCACGTGCATACATTATGCACATGATTGGTACTATATTATTTCCAGATTCAAGTAAAGATAAAGTGCATGCGAGGTATGTGTATTTATAATATGAATCTGTTTTTCATTGAATTAGCTTATTTTAATAAATTGGAATATTGTGAATATGCTAGGTGATTACCACTCCTCGAGGACTTGGACGTATGTGGTACAAAATCGTAGGGTAGTGCCGTTTTGGCGTATTTATATAGAGAGATGTCAAAAGTGGCACTTATGCAAATCAGTGAGCTTAAAGGGTGTCTAAGCTTATTGCAAGTATGGGCATGGGAGAGACTTCATTTGAAGCCAAGACTATGCACGCATTTACAATTAGATGGACAAATTCCACTGGGATGCAGGTATTGTATTTTTAGTGTAGCGAATATAATTGTAGTTATCATTGTGGTACTAAATGTATGATAAATATTTTTTTGTAGATGGAATGTCGAAAAATGCTATGACGAGACCCCGGCTAGACAATTAGATTTCTACCGGAATGAGCTTGACCGTATGAAGATTTTTCAGGTAATTCTCACCGAAAAACATGCGTTTTTTCTTCTACATACTGAAAACCCAATTCTGATATGCAACTGCAATAAATTATTGTAGATGGAATGGGAGCCCTACACCCAATTTCTACCTCAGCTACCCCCAATATGCACAGAATACCAAGTTGTATGGAGAGCTAGAGTTCCTCTTATATGTTTGGAGATAGTAGAAATGCATGTACCGGACCGCGTGCTTCGACAATATGGTCTTGCACAACATGTTCCGCAGTTTGTTGAAAAGATAGAGAGGAAGGCAAAGAAAGGAGGCCAACAAATAAACTGGATGATCGTGCATCAAGCTTTTATACACAAATGGAATGATAGGCATTTTTGTATTGTCAACCAAATTGAACCAACTCCTCGGGAATCAGATTACTACACTTGGTATTGGGACATAACCCGAAGATGGATACTTCATTCGACCACAATACCGGTTGAGTCGCAAAGAGGATATGTGCCCCGGGGTATAGATGAGAGAGAATTAGTAAGTATTTTCATATTTTGATTTAAGTCCATTTTTATTGGTACTTTATGTGTTGAAAAATTTGCAAGTATCAGCAACAGATGAAGTTCAAACTCTTGCAACTCGTGGCTTGGAATTAGCTCGAGCAGGTACGATAAAATTAAATCTCAAATTTACATTCTATAATATCAAATTTAATATGAAATTTTGTTTTTGAACTATCTATCGCAGGTAGAAATCCCGAAGCACATGAACATGTATCAATATATCAGGCTATAATGCAGAGGCTTCAACAAGCCTTACACCGAACTCACGAAGATCGTCATGATGGACGGGAGGTAACGCCATTCATATATACACGACAATAGCGACAAAGTCGAGGACGGCGCAGAAATAACGATGAAGCTGGACCTTCCCAACGTGTCGACGATGGAGCTGGACCGTCACAACCACAAACGCAACCGGATCACGAACTCTTCGAAGGGCGGTATGGAGGACGACGAAGACAAAGGAGGAGGAGGAGAGATCTTGGATGTATGTAAACTACAGGTTATATACATTACAAAACTATTTAGGGATGTGATTTTTGGATTTGTAGTCGATAATATCATGTGATATGTTTGATTTCTAAGTGGGTTTGTGGTGTTATTATGTTGGATTTGTTAGTGGGAGTTTGTGGTGTGATGTGATTTGATTTGTTAGTGGGAGTTTGTGGTGTTATTATGTTGGATTTGTTAGTGGAAGTTTGTGGTGTGATGTGATTTGTTTGATTTGAAATGAGTATGTGGTGAAATCAGTATGTAATTTTTTAGTGGGAGTTTGTGTGGATGTATGCACAGGGACTACATGAAATGCAGTGGTGAAATGAGTATGTGACTTGTTAGAGGAAGTTTGTGTTGATGTATGCACAGAAACTACTTGAAATGCAGACAAAATTGCACAAAAATGTGCACAGCGAGTGCACGGGACTGCTAGTCCTGTGCACTTGGTGTTCAGCAAACGGCTGCCCTCTCTGCTTAAAAGTCGGGACTGGCAGTCCCGACTTTTAAGCAGAGAGCAGCTGCTGGAACACCAAGTGCACGGGACTGATAGTCCCGTGCACTGGGTTTCAGCAGCGGGTTTGCTGAACACCAAGTGCACGGGACTAGCAGTCCCGTGCACTTCGCAAAAGACCTTCCGCTGCAAAACCGACCCTTTTCTTCTGAAAAGGGTCGGTTTTGCTAATATTTATCAGTTTAGGTCGATTTTGCCTATTAATTTTTAAAAATGGTTGGTTTTAAAAATTTCTCCTTTTTTTAATCCACACTCGGATATCTCCTACAAATAGAAATACTTTCAACGATGACGTTGCGTTCCAGAGCACATCAGCAATTACCAAAGCAGTGGTCTACACCCTCACGCTCTATCACCATTTTAAGAACAACAATAATAAACACCAAAGAAATAAATCAAACCAAGAAGAGAGATCTTTAGAAGTAACCAACCACATATTGCGTTGAATCTAGTCATTATACCCTCGTATGAACTGCCTTTTATCTTCTTAAACAATGGCAATCAGAATTATATTCTTCCACTGAATTCTTCGCAATAAACAATAATTAGATATACGAACATGAAGAGAAAGCTGATGAAGAGCTGACTATAACCAGAACAGATGTAAATATAACATCACACATACCATATAACACAAAATAATCTGCTGCCGCCAGTTTTGCTGAAGTAAGATGCAGTCGTCACAACTGCTTCTCTGGACAAAACACTATTTGCCTTTGACATCACTGGAGGTTGACTCTGGCAACAACCAACTTAATACTATCTTGTGTACCAACCTTTAAATGAACACTAAATATAAAGCATGTATAGAAGTCACCACAAAATGCAGTCCTACTGCTTAGTACTTGCATCCAGACTACAAGTTTCCTTGCTACATACATCCATAACACAGTCATAATACATTTATCTAAAACGAAGTCTTACATAGTACCATTCACACTTCACATGATTCTACCATGTCATCTTCATCATTATCAACATTTACAGAGTCAACCCGGTCTTATGTTCCTTCTCTCTGTTCAGCACCCATGCCATCCTCATCCGTCACAATCTCATCGCTAGTATGTAAACCAAATTTGGATACATGCGCATTCATCCAAGCTACTTGTGAGGGAATAGGCCTGGCAATAAATAACCTGGCTTGACGCTCATCTTCATATAATGTTTCAAAGGCATGGTCCAACACATGCTGTGGAAATTGTGTAAGCGCATACACTTTATCAGATAATCTTTCACTCCAATGCTTGAGATGCGCATTTTGTATAGCGAACGCCATCTCTCCCACTTTCTCAACCATCTTCTCCATAATTTTCATATTAGAATCCATATGAGCACGCTCAGTCCTACGCACCCTCGGTCGTGCATGACTTGTATCGAGACTAGTCCCATGAGTCATTTGGCTCTTCTTAAACTTAGGTGTCTCCCTGATGGGTTCACTTGGGCTGGTTTCTTGATTATTTTAAAGGTGAAATCATATATAGGCATATAAACACGAAACAAAATAGTATTTTTCAATTCTATTCATTTGTTTCATAGTAAAACTTGAAAACTATCAAACCAAAACATATATGTATATATATAACTATATATATACAAAAACCAAAACGTGTATGTGTGTATATGATTGAGCTTAAAGTACTAACACACATAATATAAATTCCTACAATATAACACTGAAGCAATGATCTTGATCTTCAATAAGCTTGACTTGGTAATCTCGCGGATGAAGCTTGAACTTGGATCTTGAACTTTGAAGGAAAAAGAAAAAACTACAAGTCACTCCTAATGAGAATCCTCTGGCTCCTGCTAAACCTATTCTTCCTCTAAGTCTGACGTACACCAGAAAAATAGGTTTACGTTAGCGTGCATGACACACGGTAAGATCCCACAAAACAAATAGAACAACGAAAACCAAAGCGAAAAATGGTACGATAACAAAATGACAAAAGAAACGTACAACTAGAAATCTAACAAAATCAACATGCAAATTCACTACTAAAACATGATAATCATAAGAATCCATAAATCAATAGGGTACAAAGTCATGCAGCTAACGATCAGAATAATCATCCAAGCGACAAGGTCATACAACTAAATAGAATTAATACTTAAAAATCTACAACTCGAGACGTAGTACGTCGAACGAAATAATCCAAATAAGCAAACCCTCTTGTATATACCATATGTCTCAAATTGTAGATAATTAAATATTAATCCCGATCTAAGTATGAAAAGAAAACAACTGACCTATATCTCATAATAATCTAAAATCATCTAAATAACGAGGTCATGTAACTAGCCATCCTATGTCATCTCTCTGGTCCACGTCTCACTAGAGTCAAAGTTCACATTATCGAGTGACTGGTTATCAGAAAGGACCTCCCAAATGAAAAATATCATCATTTTACAAAATAGTCCAAAACATGAAAATATGAGATACTTGAATTTTGATGTTTTGACATAAACCAACTTTTGAAACTTTGTGAAATGTTTCTATAGACTTAGTAAAATATGTATAAACTGATATTGAAGTCTATAAACTAATAAAACAATATTTTCACAAAATTGTATATTCTATGCAATGTTTTCAAAAACACAATAGTAAATATGAAATATATGATTTCATATTATAAACATTAAAGCCCAAAACCATACATGTATATATATAACTATATGTATACATAGAAAACAAAACTTATGTATGTATATATAAAAACTATATATATATATAGAAACCAAAACTTGTGTATATATATATAACTATATATATACAAAGAAACCAATAAATGTGTGTGTATAGATAATTGAGCTTAACGTACTTAACACACATAATATAAATCTTAAACTAAATTACCCAAGCTTGATCGTGATCTTCAATGAGCTCAACTTGGTACACGTGCGGATGAAGCTTGAACTTGATCTTTAACTTGAATTGTACGTTGCTTCACTCCACAATTCCTAACCTCCAACTACGTTGTTTGTCTATAAGAAAACACAAATACTAGACAAACAACATTAGTGGTAAATTGTTTGTTAAACATCATCAAAACAAGAAGGCCAACAGGTGTAGGTACAAAAGCAAGTAAAATATAATACAAGAAACTACTGATGAAATGATAGTGATCACATTAATATCTCATCATCCAACATACAGAAATACATAGTCAATGTCTGAACAGATAAACTGGAATACTCAACAAGTCTCAAATACAAATATCTAACAAGAGGAAATAAGGCACACAGCCTTTACAACTTCTAGAATAAGACTCTCAAATGTCTAAACAAAAGTCTACTGTGGAACTCCAAAGGAAAATATAACTAAGTAGACAGCTAAAGCTAAAATGCATCGCCATCAACCTACGACTCTCTAGGCTCCTGGCTTGTTATATGAAAGGGGGAGGGACAACGAGCGTCAAAGCGCTAGCGAGCAACATCACAACCAACCCCAAGGGAACATGGCTCGTTGTATAAGAAAATACAGATAATACATAATAGATCTAAAATCATTGATCTTACTAAAGAGGGTTTTAGTATTTAGAAATTTATAACACGAGCATAGGTACGTCGAGCGAAATAAAACAAACAAGGAAACCCTCATGTATATACCTTGTATCTCAAATTGTAAATCCCTAAACACCAAACCCGAGGTTCTAGTACAGGAACAATAATAAAAGAAATACAACTAATCTCAGAGCATCAATACAGTGCCATAACATAGCCTACATGAGTATCATGTTATTACTTACATGAATATCATGTCATAATCTACATAAGTGTCATGTCATAAACTCCTGTGAGAAAGTCATATACAGGGTTAAGAAATATGTCCGATACAGGAACTAGATACTGTGGTTTCCAAACACATGGCATAAGTGGCAAATGTCCAACACAAGGATAAAAATGGATTATAGTCCAACACGAGGACTTCTATGGATTATAGTCCAACACAAGGACTGTGTAACCGTGAAAAGTATATGCGGACTGATATACATATTCTACACTCACACGCGTCTCGGTGTACATGTCT